TTTTGCAAAACCAGAAGTCATAGATAATGTGTTTCTGCAACTGGTCACATGCATGCAAAACCAGAATATGTGTGAATCTCCAAGAGCTATGTGTACTCCCACACTCCTGCACTATCCCTGCCCTACTGGTTGCTAATCTGCCAAAAAAGCCTCCTTTCCTCATACTGCTCCACCAATGCCACCTACAACATCATCTTATTCTTAATTAAAGCCAAAAGCACCACCAGTACTAAAAAGTGCAAACCACAGCTGTGAGTGTTTAAGAAGCCATCTCAGAACTACAGCACATTTTTGTACAGGAATAATCAAACTGCAGTGTCTGAGGACAAGTGACAGAAATCAGTTACCAGTGTAAACAACATCAGGTGTAAAAGGGCAATACAAAACCATCTTCACCTAGGTTTTTAATAATTAATGACTAATTAAAGGGGGGGGGAGAAAAAGTCATATATTCCTCATTTTAAAAACAATGTACCAATTAAAATGAATTTAACACTTAAAATTTATTTTAGAAAAAGGGCCAATGAAGTGGATCAGAAGTCAACTGTATTCACTTTGGCACCTCAAGATTTGATTTCAGGAGAACTTTGAAGTTAGGCAGCTAAATTTTCCAGAAGCACCTAGATCACTTAGATGCCATACCAGAATTATTTCTAATGAAGAACAGGATGTGAAGTTCTTGCCTTTTGTGGCACCTTCCTACCAAGACCCATCAATCAAAAGCCATGAAAGAAACTGAGAAACAAACACTGTCTGACAAACATTATTTATGGTATTCAAAGAGCCAATGCTCTTTTTATTTGTCAGACTTCAACTGAATGTTACAGAAGGGGTTTAATAGCCATGATCTCAGCATTGCTCCAGACACTGGGCACGGCCACTCAGGAACACGAGCGACTGCAGCTGCAGACAGCACTGATTCACTGTCCTAGGCAGTGACACAGCATCATCATCACTGTACTCATCCTATTTTCCATTTGCAACCGAAAATATCAGGAATGTCAGACCAATGTAAAAATTCCCATTTCTTCTTTCACTGCTCTGTATGCCAGTCTGCAGGACTGGTGTGATCTATCACGAAGTAATGGAGGAATAAAGCAACAGCAAGCGCAGCACGTCAGAGCTGCCAAGGCAGGCGGGAGGGAGGAGGGTGCTCCTGAGACAGCTCTGGAAAAGGTGGCCCAGAGGTCGGTCATTAGGACAGAGCGCTGCTTTACTTTTACAAAATGAAAGATTGAGCATTCCTGGGCCACCATTCTGCCATCATGGGCCCTTCAGGGCTGTCACTGCCTCCTGCACAGGGCTTGGGGCAGCGTGGTGACAAGCAAGGGCCAAGAGGGGCGGCGCAGTGACCCTCTGTCCAGTCCCACTGTGAGACTGGACTGCACAACACGAGACACTGCTGGGCACACAGCAGCTCTGACAAAAACACCTCACCCCCAGGAACTCTGCAACGAGGGACAGATTGTTTTTCCAAACCTGAAAGTATCTCTTCCCTTAATTTATACCATTTTCAGTTCCTGCTACAGGAACCACCCTCAATGCAGACATTCCATCTCTGCATCTCTACGTTCTACTCTGTACCATACCTCCAATCTGACTGTGGAGGTTTTCATAAGCAAAACCTGTACTGTCCAGGTATTAGTCTTATGTATTTTGGCAGAGACATCTCCATCTATATTAGCTATACCCAAAGTTCAATAAGAAGTCATATTGATTTTTCCCTTCAAGCATATATATATTTGATGAAAAACTCACTCATGTCTCCAAAAGTTGTCTAGACATTAAGCTAATCCCCCTTCTGCCTTCAGTATCTGCTTTTTTTATTATTCTCAAAATGAAGCTGTACCAAGGGTCTTTTGACAGAATATTAAGAATAGCATGTATGCTGAGGTGATATTCCCCTAATATATGGAAAAGGCACGTGACACTGTCAGTGTCATCAGCTTCCTTGACCAGATTTTCCATACCCTGGAATTTTATTTTTTTTTTTTTACTGGGAACTGTTCCAATAACTGAATCATCAAGAGAAGATTTTTCTTTTACAGAAAGCCCTGAAAAATAAAAACAAGCCTCTTTCCTTGCCTGTAGAAATTGGAATATTTTGCCTAACTCAAATTATCCCACACTAAGGACAACTTTGAATAAATGCCAAGTTCTGATACTTCAGCAGTGCTTAAGTCTAAAGGCATATTTATACTACTGTAAAGGAAAAATTCCCAGAGATTGGATGATTGTGCCTGCCATAACACAGCCCCAGACGGCTCCTACACATTGCAAAGTCACCTGCATCTCTAGAAGTAATTGCATTGTTGATCTTAGAAGATTAAAGCAGCATACCAAATGTTCCCTTTGCTAATTTGGCACTCTACAGAAGGTCTAACTGGTAAAAGAAGACTGAACACACCTGTAGGAAGATATATAATGACATTCAAAAAATACATTTTGATGTAGTTTAAATGAACACTATTTTGCTTTTCTGTATAGCACATGGGATGTAAAAAAGCTATACTAAAGCAGCCTGTGGTATATAAAGTTTTTGTTTTGTGAAGGAATCATCCTCCCAAGCTGTATGCAAAAGCTTTGCCTGAGTGCCTATACCCACACATAAAACCCTTAAAATTGAAAGCTGTTGGCTTTGTGCAGTAGAAGCAGGGGAGTCTACTGAAGAAACTCTTATCAAATGGGCTGAAAGTCACAAGGGATCCAATTAAGATAACAAGTTCAAACCCAGGACATTTCCTCTTCTTTCTGACTGCTCAGGCCAACATCAGACATCTGTTCTCACTAATTTTTTAATTAATCCCCTTTGAAGCAAACTATTCAAAACCTGACAATACCTCATCTGTCCGATAAGGACCCCCCTCCTGCAAAGGTGCTATTTTGAATTAAAATGCTCCTCCACTGATGCAGTTGGAAGCACAACCACAGCTTTGTGTAGAAAAACCAGTTTTGCTGAGTCAAGCTAAAAACATTAGCAGAGATGGAAATGCACCCTGTCTTGTAACTGCAGGCCACTATTACACAGGCAGCTGCACTGAATGGTCTGCAGCTTGTCCCACAAGTGACCTCTACTCTGCTTTTTGCAGAATTAACCACAGTAACTACTTCTGCTAGATCAGAGTCAAACAAATTAGACAGGATGGCTTTTCACAGAAAGAAACCATCTTTAGTTATCTTTATCTCGCCTCAAACAGATTCTATGCACATAAAACTCTGCTCACCCATTTCCAGTAATGGAAGCATTATTTGAAAATAAAGAGATGATGGAGAGAAAGAAGTCCATGACTTCTCCAGATTACATTATACTTTAATAAGTACCGCACAAATTGCTCACAACATTTTGAAAAATTTTCAGTATTTCTCAGACTCCAAAGAGCTCCCATCATCTTTCTTTCCTTACAATATTTATAAAGCTATGATGTTTTTACTTTATGGAATTGCCATTTAACATTCTTGAGTGATGCTGCTCAAACCTTCCCAAAGCTGTTTCTCTCCTGTAAATCTGAAAGCCCATTTTCTGCCACTCCAAGACTTAGAAACTCTAAAGTAAGTCTACATGCATGAGTGGTGCATGCTGGAGGCTTTATGTACTTAAAGGACTGCAAATCACACACTGAGTAGTACCATGCCCAATTATTTTAGATAGACCAACCTAATGCAATGGCAGAAGGGGAAACAGTCTTTAATCACTCACAATTTCCAACATCTTTAGCTTCCTTCATTTATCAGTCCAGAGACTTCTCAAGCAAGGACACCCCTCTCTCCACTCACTATCTCCAACACATAAAGACCTTATTTGTTTCTTTGCTTGACCAGAAAATCCCATTGAGAAGTCCTTGTTTTTAGAAAGTACACATGGATACAGATCAATCCAGAAGAATATTTAAATATATTCTAGCCCCACTGCCTTCAACTGCTTAAGTGATGTGTTGGAGCACAGCCAGTACCACACTACTCTGCAAGGCCACAAAGAACATCAGCAATATCCTTCTCTACCTTGTGGGGGTCTACTCGCAAGGTAAGGTTTGTTAAAACAAATTCCCTCTGTCTTTGAGTGCCCTTTAATGACCTAAGACAGCACACAAAGAGAGCCTGCCAAAAATGTAAAGGAATTGTGAATTAAAAAAAAACAACAACAGAAAAAAGTAGGGAGGTGCTGGGGAAAGAAAAGACATCTGCTACACCCACAAGACATTTGTTAAATTATGGTATATATTAAAAAGTCTACAGATACAAATGTGGTCTCACTTATCTCCTGCTGAAAGAACAAATGCTCACTTGTGTTCTTGCACAATACTTGAGCGTGGCTGCTGGGAGCCTGGTGCACAGCGAATTTCCCCTCTCTAAGAATAAGAATAGGCAATCTCATCTCCCTTGTAACTCCAGCCATGGAGGAAAATAAGAAAGCATATTTAAGGAAAGTTTCCAAAATCAAAAGAAATGATACAGGGATTGTAGTTCTTTACATTTGAAGAAAACAACTGCAAAATCATGACTGTACATCACATTTAAGAAGACACTAATAGCAGCACACAGTCTGGATATTTGCCCTCTGAACCACACACTTGTATTTTCCTTTAGGAAGACAAGATTTTAGCACTTGAAAAAAACATACTATAATCAAAATACTGTAATTTTAAACCCTTTTTAAAGAGCTGATAAGCACCGAGGCAATTGTGACTCCACACTTCAAGGAGACAATACAGTTTTTACAATCTCTTTTGACAAAAGGTCTATTTATTAATATTTCCATACTGTGAATTGATGTGTTATATCATAACTCTCAACAAAATGAATACTGATTTACACATGAGACACTAACAGCTCCAAAAGGAGCTGTTAAAGACCATTGAATAAAAGAACACTTAATGTAAGGATTCAGTGAACTGCAGAAACTGATACCTAACAAATACTGTAAATGCACGTAATACTAAATTGTACCAAACTACAGTCCACTTTTATGACAAATAAATAGATAAATCATTGAGTGTCCTTACCAGAACTACTCTCTGAAACCCCACAAAATTGTGATGTGGCAGCAGTACAGCCCTTGGTATTACACCACCTGTAACACAAACCATATTATGATAGTTTCTATCAATATTTATTTTAAAGGATGAAAAAAGGATAAAAGCTATTTTTCTACCAGTCTTTTTACTGAAAGAATTAAAACAACATTCAGTTTCCTACTGATAACAATATATGGTTAGTTAAGAAGTTAAACAAACAAAAATTAGAGACCTTGATTATTTACATGGAATTTATTTAAAAAACAAATTACAGTTCCAGTTTCAATTCTATCGTCTTCTCACTCTTTTAGTTGAAAATAAATCCCCACCACAAGCTCACTGGCTTCAAAGTAATTTCTGTTCTTTTTTTCTGTCCACTTTGACAAAGGGGAACTTTATGAGACTCCAGAAAAAGTTTACAAAGGGATAAGTATTGAAGCAATAGATATTGCAGTGGTAACCAATACATACTAAAATGATTCAATAGGAAGATAAAAAGTAGGAAACACAAGGCCATGATCAAACCATTGAGTGTTTTCAAAAGTGACCATTCAGGAGCTGAATTTCACACCAACAAATCATAAAGAGCGAAATATATGAACAATCCTTAAAATATCCTCAAGAAGTTTATTTCTACAGGTGACTGTTAAAATTTAAACAGTCCCTAGGAACACATTACATGCCTGCAATCAGAATAATTACTGATCCTGTATTTGTGTAACGTGGTGATTCCTACCACCAATATTCATTGCAGATTAAATCATTAGAAAGTGATCTTATGTAAACTAAGGGATTAAGGAGAAGATTTGAAGGCAGAAGCACAGGAACACTGTCTAGGCACCACAAGAAAAGAATCCACATGTCAAATAAATGCTGTTTGAAGCAGGATGCACTCAATAGTAAAACAGCTAACTCTGCCCTCTGGAAGAGGATCTGGAAAAGAACAAACAGGTTTCTTAAGTACTAAACTCCAGCTACAAAGGCTCAAAAAATACATTATAAACAACACTAAAAGTTCCCAAGCACCTCCTTAATACTAGGATTAAAACCGAGGAAGGCAACACATGCCTTAAACAGGACTTAGCATTTCAATTTTCCATCGTCTTAAAAGCAGCCACTGACCTCTAAGAAACCCTCTGCAATTTAGTCTGTTGCTAAGCTCAATAAGACTTGAAAATGTTCTTTTCTGTTTTGATTGGGGAGCCACAAGGTATTTTGGTCAGAAATAATTTTCCATATTTAAATTCCCAAGAGAATCAAGTAAACTTCTCCCCTTTCCCTCCTGAAAAACCTCCAACAGCCAAATGGACAATTAATTTCCAAAACCAAGATACCACCACACTGGACTGGAAAAGTGTCCTGGTCCTCCCTGTAACACTGACAGTAGTTCACAAGAACAAAGTGAAAAGGTTCTGACCCTCCATTCATGTAATTTTAATTCTCTCCTAGGCTATTATGTACTGCTTTGATCATTTCTACAAACCTAACTGTATATGCCAACTGCATTGCTAAAATTTAATTTGGAAAAAAAATAATCAGAAGCAAAGTTTAAAAAAGCTTATAAAATTTTAACTCCAAGTGCAAAAGGTCATTAAGAGGGGATGTTGATCCTGCTGGTTGAACAAACAAGACAGAGCAAGAGCAGTAAGTTTCAATTTTATGCTTTGAACCTTGTACACTTTATGTTTACATGAAGGATTTTTCATTCATTTGAAACAAACTCTGCTCAAGTAAATAACTGAAATTACCCCCAAAAGGATGCCAAACAAGAGAAAGAACCTGGAGGCCCTACGGGAGAGTAGAGAACCACCACACCCTCCACAGAAGCTGCTGTAAGAGGAATTCCTTTCCTCTCCACAGCTCCCCACAAAGTGCACACAGAAAACACAACACACCCTGAACATCAGAAATTCCCCACTGCATTTACCTCCCTACAACAGCAGAAACCTGTTCAGTTCCCTCAACCCCAGCTGGAGAGGGCAGAGGGAACAGCAAGAATTAAATGCATGGCCTAACTTAACAGGGCTTTTAGGAATGACTAAGCAACAAAAGTCATTTTTTCACATGGATCCTGATAGTCAGCTACTTCTGCAGGCACTTGCAGCTCATAACACAACCATCAGAGAATCCTCTAAATTAAATTATATTTTTAGCCTGTTCCAAATTAATAAATAAGAACAAAAACCATTGCATGTGCTGCAGACACATTACTTAAAGACTGTATTTTTGTGGTTTTTAAAATATATGTTAGTGATGTGAATAGAATTTGTGGAATGAAACCTTCACATACAGTGAAGGATGTAGGATAAAAACTTCACATTTAATTATATTTCTACCAAGTGATATGATGAAATGAAGCATATCTCAGGGTGCTCACCTCTAATCTCAGGGCATAATTTCCCTTACTATATCTACTCTTCAGCTGTGGATTGTTTCATAGTTACTAACTCTTTCTTACAAGATGCTTATCTATGTGTATTTCAGAAATCTGAAGAGAATCAAAGTAAACCTACAGCATCATTACAGAAAAAAAAAGTTGAACGAGAGAGGAAGGAGTAAAGAATTTTTCCAGCCTTAGGGAGAAGACTAGAACAGAAAACACTGCAAAAATGTGCAGGGTTTTGAGAACCCAACATTTTACGTGATGCTAACAGGCAAGCTTAACAACTGTGTCTGTTACTAAAATGCTCACACTCCATAAGAATTTGTGCATCGTGAGCATGAAATCTTTCCCTCTGCAGCTTAAAATATCTATGCATTTAAAAACCATCTGCAAAAATAGACATATACTTCCCCACTGCAAAATTAATTAGAGAGCAGGAATTTCATCTCACTACCACCAACACATGTGATGATGCCACATGTAAACACATTGCACTTGTTTTGGCACTGGAGAGCAACAGAAATGGTAAATTTAAAAAGATTCTGTGAAAATGTCACTTTCTTGAAGAAGCTGATTAGTATCAGTGAAGGTGGAGGATGGGCACCCAAGAATGTGGGTGGGATTAATGTGGGATTAATCTGCCACTAAATCCTGCTCCTTGATCAACACGGGGCCCATTTACCCATTCCATTGGTGGGGCTTTTTTCAACAACATTTTTTTTATTTTTCTTCTCTTTCATTTCTTTTAAATGAAATCCTTACTGCTGTTAGATCGGGACTTAAGTGTCAACTTTTAAATTAAAAAATAGTAAAAATTCATCAAAATATTTTTTCAACAAACAAGTACCTTTCTTTTTTTAATGACTGACTAGGTTTTTGCTTGTTTTGATTTTAAACCATATGTAGTTTAGGGAAAACAAGACAAAAAAAGTAAATTATGTGGTCATAAAAATACTGATAGGCATTTTATAAATTTAATGTGACCCATCAGGGAGAGAGGAATTATCTACTTTTAGGAAGTATTGTTTACTTCTTTCTTCCCACTAGACCACCTGTTAATAATATTTGATGTTGTTTTCTTTCTGTGCGATGAGTATGACTATAAATGAGATATTTGATCTGCTCTCTACAACTTATTCCCTCTAATGCCTCTATTTCAAAGACCATCCAACCAACAAATGACACCAGCCTCAAGGCAATGTCCCAAGTGAATGTGCATCTTTGCTTCTCTTCCCTATCCACTGTCATTTCCATAATTCATCTTCTTAACGATTTACCAAGTGCAGAGGATATTTTCAGAGCACATCGATGGTGCTCAAAAAGTCTTATAGCTGACTGACTGCCAAGGGCATGTGAAGGAAGCAAGAAGTATGTACAACTGTTTTGGAAACAAGATGCTGAAAAATTCTCATTTTTTTCTATTTGACAGATATTCCAATTCTTTGGCCTGACTGTAATGCACACAACTTGGTTTAAAGCATTTTCATTCTATAAGGATATGCTTATTGAAAAAACCAAACACAGGAATCATATTTACAAAACCGGAAGGCAGAAGTATTTAATTTCTAAAGACTGCCTCCAATAGTACTGCTTCATGACTGGTGTTGCAAATACTACAGCCACTATTTTGCATACTCATTAAAAATGATGTCTGGAGCTTGCAGCTCTTTTTCCAAAAAAAAACCACCCTTCAGAATGTAAGCCACTCAAAAGCACTATAAAGCCAGTCATCATTCTCATTCCTGAAAATCCTCCATTTTACCATTTGGTAAATAAATATATTTTTCCTTTTTTTTTTTTTCCTTTTCTCCCTTGCCACTCCACACAATCTCTAGCAGCTTTATTTTACCCCATCAACCCATATCACTGTCAGCACTCAGAGCAGAAGGCTTTGTGCCTGCCTCTGAATTCATGACCAGAGATTCACCCTCACCACGCACAGAAAACGAGCAGCCTTCATCTTTCCATTTACCCCCATTAAGTCAGTGCCATCATGTTCTCCCGGGAGAAAAGTGCAAGAGCTGAAACACCACAAGTGACAGCAGCCAAGGACACTCAGAAATAAGGTCTGCCCTTGCTGGTCTCGGACTGTGAAAAGGAAAGCTCCAAACTGCAGGGAAGTGACCGCGTACTGCTGGAGTCCCAGCTCCTTTTGAACAGATATCAGGTAGCTTGGATGGAGTACCTGTCTCAAACTGGGCTTTAATTTGCTTGGAAATGCACGTAAAAATAGTGGGACTTGGTCCTGAACAGGACCAAAAGCAGGTTGTATCATAATTATGTCATATCTAATTAAAGTCCGTATCACTAAAATAGAGACTTGCCAGCATAGATACAAATGTCACTTGGCAGCCACAGTGGTTCTCAAACCTGTAGCTGGAACACAGCTCGGGACAGAAAAGTGTAAAAAAGCTACCAATTGAAAAGCCTGATTGCTAGAATGTAGTAGATTTTGCTTTGTTTTACAGTGTTGTAGTAACACCTTACTCCAGGGAACAACAGGTTCTTGGATTTCAGAGATCCAATTCAATTGGTACATGGGGTTACCACATCCATGACTCTTGCACTCTGCCAGGAGACTTGAGATAACTTCTTGGCTCAGGTTTGTAGTGAAAATAAGCTGGCAGCATTCATTTAGTCACCATTTCTCCATAAATTACAATTAACCCCCCC